TGGAGATTGAGTGCTTATCATTTTTTTGTGAACAGGAACCATAACAGTGTTTGAGACAAGAGGGAAATTAACTCTCAAGGAAGGATAAATTAAGTGAGTATGCAAGTGGTTCAATAACTAGTTCAGCAACATCCAACAACGATATTGTCTTGATAATAAGAAGTTCCATCATCGGTTTCCATATAGTTTTGTTTAATATAGCAACTTTAGATTTATTATCAGCTACAAGAAATTTGTTCATGAAATGCTCTTTTTTTGAATGATCAATTTTTTTTGTATGATTCCTCAACCGAATTTTATATTGCTCATTAATGACTTCATCAAATTGAATCCTATTCAGACTGAAAACATCACGAAGAAGTTTACCTTCATTGGTGATCCAGGGTTTGCCTTCCGGAAGTTGAGTGTTGCTGATTTTACGTAAAACAGGCTGTCATGCTTTGTCAAATACTTGGAGGAATAAGGAGTAGAATTTGGAAAATTTTGTGTTAAACTCAATGTTGTTGAATGAATTGATGGATGTAGCCGTTACTACGTGGTGGGAAGTCATAATGAAAAAAAGAGAAATGAAACTTTCTATGTTTTTTACCACTCTTATTTGTAACTAACGTTACTGCAGTTTCGTCCTATACGGACATTTTCAAACTTATACAATAAACTACCAATGATTCATTGGTAGTTTATTGTATAAACTACACATGTGCCTTCATTCCAAAACTTCCCACCCCTAGTACGTTTAGCAGGGAGAATTTGCCGTAGGCAAAAAACACGTCAATTTAGACATCGAGGGGAAAGTTTGAAACCAGTGCCAGTGGTATTTTAGGTTTAACCCCTTACCCCTAGCTACCCCCACTTGATAATTCTAAATGACACCCCCTATCTAGTAACACATCATTTCAAAGATCTTAAAAATCCTAACTCAACCTCGTTTGGAAAACTGAAATTGGTTGATCCGTTCTCGTAAAATAGGGAAAAAGATGTGGGAAATCATAATGAAGAAAAGAGAAATGGAACTTTCTATGTTTTTTACCACTTTTATTTGCAACTAACGTTATTGCAGTTTCGTCCTATACGGACATTTTCAAACTTATACAATAAACTACCAATGATTCATTACATTAGCCATTATACAGTGCCTTCATTCCAGAACTTCCCACCCCTAGTACGTTTAGCAGGGAGAATTTGCCGTAGGCAAAAAACACGTAATTTAGATATCGAGGGGAAAGTTTAAAACCAGTGCCAGTGGTATTTTAGGTTTAACCCCTTACCCCTAGCTACCCCCACTTAATAATTTTAAATGACACCCCCTATCTTGTAACACATCATTTCAAAGATCTTAAAAATCATAACTCAACCCCGTTTAGAAAACTGAAATTGGTTGATCCGTTCTCGTAAAATAGGGAAAAAGAAAATGAATTATAACAAAATGCAAAAAGTTATGGAACCGCTACCACTGACTCAGTAACGGTATGTCTATGTCTCTTTTTTACACAGAGTTTTTTGCTTTAGCTGAAAGTAAGATAAGGGCACACAGTTGCTTCTTGGTTACATTTACATGGTGGAAACATTTATCAGGCGCATATGACCAATGCTCCTCCTGTTGGTTGACAGGAGCTTCGTCGGGGGGCGCAGCGGTCTTGCACAAAGCAATGCTGCCACCCATTTTTTTTAAACTTTTTNTTTTTTTAACATAAAAACAATTTGATTTTTTGAAGTCGCCTCCTACTTGGGAGACCTTTTGATAATTTTTCACCCCCTTTACGTGGTTATCCGAACCACCCCGGCCTGGTTACCGGCGTGAATAAAGGGGGCCACTTATTCGTCATTTTTTAGACACTCCAGATTTCAATTTTAATACAACACAACACAAAACGGAGCCCCACGATAGCACATGGCGTCCGCGTACCTTCTTTGTGGACGGACGTTATCAGCACGTCCGTCCACTACCACGGCCACTACGGAACTCATCAGAATTAGTTATCCTGATTTTAAACTGTTTGTCAAGTGGTGTCAGTTGCATTAAGGTAATACAAATCGTAATGGTGTACACTTTATAAGAAAGAACTGAAATTATTTTTATTTATGATGCTGAAGATAGGTGTGCTCGCAGGACAGCCCGGGTTTTTAATGAAAGTCATGCAGGCCAAACTGTGAGTCACCGATATGTTCTAGACCTTGTTCAGAAATTACCGGTTCTGTGTGCAACAAAGCAGTAAAGCAGCCGAGAGTTTTTACGGAAGCCGCACATATTGAGATTTTAGGCCAATTCGCCGTTGAGCCTACTACTTCAATTTCGAAAGTCGCTAAGTTGGTAAATATTTCAGTTGGTTCTATACACAAAGTTTTAAAACTAAACAAGTTCTTTCCTTACAAAAGAGTATTCTTCAGCAACTCAGTGAGAATGACTATGATAGGAGAATTGAATTTTGTGAAATAATGACTGCAAGAATTCAAAATGACCCGAATTCAATAAAAATATTTGCTTCAGTGATGAATCAACTTTTTTTCTTGATGGCTTTGTAAATAAGCGTAACTGTAGATACTGGGATAATGAAAATCCACACTTGTTTCGAGAGGATCATACGCAATATCCACAAAAAATAAACGTCTGGGCTGAAATTCTGGGAAACGAAATAATTGGCCCTATTTTTATTGAAGAAACTGGTCAGTTGTATTTAAACTTATTGGAAAATGTCATCGATCCACTCATAACACAGTCCTTAGAACGCCAAGTTGATGAAGAAGACAACAGGACGGCGCACCGCCACACTACGCATTGCATGTCCGACAGGGGCTCGATCAACGGTATCCTGACAAATGGATTGGCAGAAGAGGCGCTCTGGAATGGCCTGCGAGATCTCCGGATTTAAAATGGTATACAAAACTCTCCCGCAGGACATTCACGATCTAAGACACAGGATTACTGACACATGCGGACAAAAGTCCGGCAGGAATTCGAGAATAGATTGTACTTTTGCTCAGCTACCAATGGTGAACATTTGAACACCTAATACCTAAAGTAAGGTACATTCATTTAATTGCAGTAGCTATTATTTCATTTTTTATTATAATTAATTTTCTTTTTGCCCTATTTCACGAGAACGGATTAACCAATTTCAGTTTTCTAAACGGGGTTGAGTGATGATTTTTAAGATCTTTAAAATGATATGTTACAAGATAGGGGGTGTCATTTAAAATTATTAAGGGGTGGTAGCTAGAGGTAAGGGGGTTAAACCTAAAATACCACTGGTTTTAAACTTTCCCCTCGATATCTAAATTGACGTGTTTTTTGCCTACGGCAAATTCTCCCTGCTAAACGAAGTACTAGGGGTGGGAAGTTTTGAAACGAAAGCACTGTATACCACCCCTGTAGGTACTAATAGAGGTACTTGGCTTGATTGAGTACCTGAATTTACAGTTCACAATGCGGATCTGCCAATTCAAAAACCGGCGAGTAAACTAAACCTGTTGAATGATCAAATCGATTTAGTTTACTCGCCGGTTTTTAAATTGGCAGATCCGCATTGTGAACTGTAAATTCAGGTACTCAATCAAGCCAAGTAACTCTATTAGTACCTAGAGGGGTGGTGTATAATGGCTAATGTAATGAATCATTGTTAGTTTATTGTATAAGTTTGAAAATGTCTGTATAGGACGAAGCTGCAGTAACGTTAGTTACAAATAAAAGTGGTAAAAAACATAGAAAGTTTTATTTCTCTTTTCTTCAATATTGTTGAAATATGAAGTTTTGAAATAATAAATCTCTTGGTCACCATTTCCTAATGATGTAATTTGTGTGATTGATTACTTAGAAAATGTGGAAATTCATGACCACTTAAATGAAATGAATGGAAAGACTTTCGTTTAATTTCTACTAAATATTTTATTTTTACTACCGGTTTCGGGTTCTGTCCCATTATCAAGTATAAAAAGTAACCTCTTTATTCTTGATAGTGGGATAAAACCCGAAACTGGTCATAAAAATGAAATGACTAGTATAAATTAGACAAAAGTGTTTTCATTAATTTCATTAAAGTCCTAATGATGTAAACTTGGTTAGCGAAACGCGCATCCAGAGACAGTATTTTTGTTCTGGTGTGGTGAAAGTGTTGATAAAAAAAGCAGTGGACGTTCCTGTAACATGTTTTGATACACAACGAGCATCAGAAGTGAAATAAATGAAATATCAATAACAATTAGATTTTTACAATCTTTATTTTTTATTTGAATGTGTCAAATACAATATTTTATAATATGATTAGGTTTCACATCCACAAAGTTATATTTAGTTAAGTAAAAAATATGATGAACACTAAACCCAAACAACAAACAAATCAGTTGAATCAAAAACATGTTTTCACACACATTGCTTAATATTTTCCCATTATAACTATACAGTCTACAACAAACATCTATACATTTTAGAACTCATGGAAGGTTCAGCTGATATTGCGTATATATTTACGGTCAAATACAATTCCTTTGGCACCCCTGGCTAGAGACGCCAAAAATCTGTGAATTTCACACAGTGAAGTATCAAAATCATTATATCAAAGAAACTACTGATGCAGCACCAAATAACCATCATTTTTCTTCAAATGTTGCTCACCCTCAACCAGGCTGCAATTAATCCTTTGTGAAGTTTCCATGAGTTACTTGATAAAGGGTTGAGGGATGAAAAGGATCGACTACAATGTGAATGGCAGTGGGCCCTTGGGCTTCACACAGGACAATAATTATCTTACAAACAAAGGTCAGAAACTATTATGAACGGAAAATACATTTCGTCTCTTTTCTTGCAGAATGTTTGGTAATTAATTTTACATTATTCAATATACTAAAAAAAGTTCCCTAAAAAACATCACCTGTATTTTATGATGTAGTTACGATTTTCCCTTGGTAAGACAAGTTTGTGATCGCATCAAATTCAAATCCAAATAGTCAAAGAAACGTTTGTCTTTTCTTGGTCATAGTGGAATTAACTAGTATGTATTTTCTTTACAGGCTGTTTTTTTCTTCTATTTTTCATTATGTGACATACATTGTATCACCGTTTGTAACCTTCGTTTGTAAGATCAACTCTCGGATTGATGGAGAAAAGGAGATGATGATTTTTGACATGTTTTCTAGTGAATGAATTACTATTTAGATGGAACAATATTCAAAACGATTTAATCCTAGTATTGGCAACACCGTTTACTGCCTATTGCGACGGGGCCCTGAAAAATAAAAACATTAATAAAGTGAAATATAGTATTGTCTCTTATGACAAAGATGAAAGAAAAAAAGGAAGTTTGATAAGGAAAAATAATGAAAAATATATAGTATGGTTGAGAATGAAGCAAAAAAACAGAATAACATTTTTCTACTGGTCCATTGCTGTTTGAATGTGGTTGATAATATTAATTCGTTAATGTTAAAGGTTCTATGGAAGTGTGAATATATTTGAAATTTATGATAAGATATAAGAATACTGAAAATATCAAATTACTCGTAATATGAGTTGGTTGAAAAAAAATTCAGTTGGCATCTTATAATGAGTGATTTTTTTGCTGGTATCTTTTTGGCAACACTGTTTTTGACAGATCACGCGTGAATCGTGTCTTGTGTCATTGTAAAACTTGTTCAGTTTGGTCAGTTTAACCATGAATCAACAAATTTCGAATTTTATTATCAAAATTCATTCTCGTTGAAGAAAGTGCATCGTGCACTTCTTCTAATTTATGGGCAGTTACTACTGAGGGAGCTATTCGGAAGCTTGTGACTAAATTTCGAACCCAGTTTACATTATTGGATATTAAACCACCAATACGTAGAGTGAGGTAGATAGGTAGGTCTAAAGTGAGTGGGTCTATTCGACCCTCCACCGCAACACATAAGGGTTTATTGTGGCTCACACCTATTCACACTCGGCCAAATAAACCCAGCTTCTAAACGAAGCCGATTAGTTTGTATGGTGAGTGGTCTTCTTGCCATCCAGGTGTTAAGTGTTTGTTTGGCAAAGCCCAAAGCGATGCCAATGACAGGTTCTTGTCCAATGAAGCCGCTTGCAGCATCCTCCTTTGCAAGAGAGTCAGCCAGATTCCTGGCCAGTGTGGCCAGGAATCTAGACCAGAGACAATTTGTTAAGCCTTCCTATCGAGGAGAGTCTTTTTTGGCAGTTTGCTACCAATTTAGACGTTGCTCGGTGGGAGCCAAGAGCTTCCAACGCCGCTTGACTGTCCAAGAATATTTTTATTGACTTGTGAGCGAGGTTGGATTTATCCAATCTCTCCGCACACAATTCAATAGCGTAGATTTCCGCTTGAAATACAGTCGCATAGGTTCCTAGGCAGGTAGTGTCCTGGGTCTGCGACTAATAACACCTGCACCAGAACCGGAAGGTGTTTTTGATCCATCTGTGAACCAACAACTACCTGGTCTTAAGATTTCTTTCTCCCAGAAGATCTAGTCCTCTCTACTCGGGAATAGTAATTTATAAGGCAGTTCGTACTTGAAAGTTGGAGGCATAAAGTCAGAGGTCATTTCCAGAATGCTGTGACTTCCAATGTCAACCAACAGTCTGTTGCACTCTGCATTGACTTGATTTGTGCAATTGGCAATGTGCACCAGTCCGTATGCCGTCCATCTAGCCTCTCTTTCCAGAAAAATGTGAAGAGGAGGTAGATCTAGAAGGATCTCCATGGCCACTGAGGGTGTGGTACTGATGGCACCACTGATAGCCAGACAAGCCTGTTATTGTGTGCCAGAGAGTTTCGCTTGGGCCGTTTTCTTTAAAACCTTCGGCCACGAGGCAATTGCACCATAAGTAATCATTGGTCTAACAATCATCACATAAATCCAGTGGATTCGTTTGGGACCTAAAGCCCAAGTTTTACCACAAATCCTTCGACATGTCCATAGAGACAGTCTGGATTTGTGTAAAACTGTTTCCAAGTGAGCGTTCCAGGTGAGTCTTTTACCAAGGACAATGCCAAGATATTTCACCTCCGTTCCAAATGGAATGACCACACCATTGAGGGAAAGTGGCGTTAGATTGTCCAATTCCCTTCTCTTGGTGAAGGGGATTAACACAGTTTTGCTGGGGTTGACAGACATCTGCACAGACATCTGCTCCCTCAGGCACCAACTGTGAACAACGTCCAACGCGCTTTGGAGGATATTGCAAGCTACCTTAACACCCTCCCCGACGTGGAGCTTGCCAGAATGACAAGGTCATCTGCATGAGCTTGCAGATCAACTTTTCTTCTGTCGAGGGCCTCAAGCAGACTATCCACCAGGAGCGACCACAGAAGGGGAGATAGTACTCCACCTTGAGGGCAGCCTCTGGTGACCCTGCACCTGATAGCCTCGCCTTGAAGAGTCGTAGTTGCAGTTCTGTTTACTAGCATGGCATAGATCCAGCCAGTTATGATCGATTCTATACCCTTTCTAGCCAGAGACAATCCTATAGATTTAGGTAGTGCATTGTCATGCCCAGGGAATTTTAGCCCTGGAGTTATGTACTATGAATCATTAGTGATTACTTGTATGTTCAAGAGGATACTTCCGAATGGATTGAAGCTCTATTAGAGGGGTCAGCAAGTAGTCTTAGGTGGGGTCCGAATAATATGGGAAAATTTTAACGAGGTCCATAAAAAACAATTGATAATAATTAAGTGCTACCTATGTATTATTTTGTTTTCAAATCAATCTGAATTGTAAAACACAAAACCTTTATAGTTTAGTTCTCGAAAGGAACAGCAAATTCGAAATGTGTCTTCTAGGTAAGCGTCCGTTAATCTTGAACGATATTTGTTTTTCAGAAAATTCATCCTTGAGAAATACGTTTCACATACGTATGTCGAGCCAAACATAGTGGTCGAATTTATAGCTAGTTTCTGGCAATTATTATATTTTACTGGGACATGTTTGGCCCAAAATTCTACAGTGAATACCGTTTTTTACATTTGCAAAGATACATCTTGCAAATCAATTACAATTCATTTATTTCCAACGCTTCCAATAAATTCATCTCCCTTCCTTTGTTACATGTATGAAGTACATTGTACTGTCTCACACAAATTTACTTCAAGTACAATGATAACTTCTACCTACAAAATTCAGGCCTCCCAATGGGGTCACTATTGAGCCCCTTATTAGCAGACATTTTTTATGGACAACTTAGAAAACACGTGTATCCCGAAGAATGCCTTATCCCAAAAACACATTTTATTCTGGTTCAGATATGTGGACGATATCCTCGTGGGATTTGACGGCTCGAAGAGACAAATAAACCAGTTCGTGAACTTCCTTAATACTCTACACGATAAGGTAAAATTCACGGTCGAAATAGAACAAAACAACATCATTAACTTCCTGGATCTCACTATTACAAAACTCAATGATAAATTTCAGTTCAACATCTATAGATGAAACACCTTCACGGACTGTACAATTCCGATGGATTCTTTCAGTCCATTATCACACAAATTATCGGCCTTCAGATCTATGATACATAGAGCATTTATGATACCGTTATCATAGGAGGTTTTTCAAGAAGAAATTAAGATCATAAAGCAAATAGCATATAACAACCATATTCCCGCCAACTTAATTGGAAAACTGATCTCCAATAAGAACAAAAAATTGATCATGAAGGAACTATACCTAAGTCAGCATAAGTTATTCAGGGAAGCTCTCAGAAAATATAAAGAACTATTTTTCAAAACTCAACATAAGCACATCATTTTCTAATAAGAATAATTTGGGAAACATGTTATTCAACGCAAAACCCAAAAGGGATAAATAGAATGTGGGGACTGCCCAGCAGCTTATACAGGTCAGACAGGCAGAAACTTCGACATAAGATACCGAGAACATGTATTATCAGATAAAAAATCAGCCATATATGGACATCTAAAAGAAACAAACCATACAATGAATACAGGAAACATGAAAATTCTTCATACATGTAACACTTCCAATTTATTGGAAGCGTTGGAAATAATAAATAAATTGTACAAGGACCCCAAGTTCATAAAGCTCAACGACCAACTAGATCTATGCAGCTCGCCTCTTTTGAATGTAGGAATTTTAGGATCCATCCAATAGTTGGTAATCGTGACATATTGTAATATTAGTAACGTGTTACGTCAGGTATCTAGAGCAGATACCTGTCCACACTATTTAAGACGCAACTTGACAATTTGTGGTAGTGACTTGAAAATGGCCTTATAAGCCGAAACCGGTCGTAACGAATAAACAAACACAGTAGAAACTAGACAAAAGTATTTTATTTATTCTAGATTTTCTTGAAGTTAAGGGCATTTGAATATACAGGGTGTTTGGTAGCTGGGTGCAAACCTTTAAGGGGGTGATACACTAGCCCATGTGTTCATACAAATATTTTTATTTTCTAGTGCGTTTTTGATTTTTGAGGAAACTTTTACGATTTTTAGTACAAAAACCCAAAATTGGTCAATTAAATGCTAATAACTTCGAATCTTAACAGAAATGTCC